TCAAACTGCAGGTCTTAATGCTCAATACCGATTTTTTGATCAAATCAGATTTTTTTTGTCTGCTTGTTCACACTACAAATAAAATGTGACAGCAAACGCGCTCTAGTGTGAACCCTCAAAGCGGCCCACATGCGCATACGAAAGTGACCCAGGTCGGATTTGAAAATATCAGATTTGTGCTGTTCAAACTGTCATACCATGATCGTATATGGGTTGCATAGGGTCAAAAAAGTCGCATTTCATGCACTTTCGCCTGCAATGTGAACGTAGCCTTACATTCATGTGATGGAGCTGTACAAAAAGCTTAAATTTAAAGGATCGATATCAAACCTATGGCCCAGAGGTCAGTTCTGGTTTGCAAACTCTTAAATTTCCAAAGAAGCCTTTACCTAATCCATTTTTTTTCCAGAATCTATTACGATTACTTGTACGTCATGAAATAATAACGTGATTCAGAGAAGACTGGTTCAGCGTTCAAATACAGTTTCCTTACATACGGGAAATAGCTCGCAGTTTATGAGGAAAAGGGCTGAGAGTAAAACCCACAGCTGGAGTCAGATCTAATTCATCCTCTGAAACTCCAGGTGCAGGGGTGAAACGAAAATGCTGAAGGAGAGTGGTGAAGAAGAGGAAGAGCTCCATCCTGGCCAGACTCTCTCCGAGGTAAACCCTGCGACCTGTAAGAGACAATTGAAGAATAACTTCAGCTGTCCTGTCAGCAGATGTAACCTAAACAGTGATGGCTGAGCTCACAAACCTGCAGAAAATGGAATGAAGGCATCTCGCTTAACAGACTTTTTCTCGTTGTCCAGGAAGTGAGCAGGATAAAAGCTGTGTGGTCTCTCCTACTCCTTGGGATCATGCAGGACAGATGTCAAGAGAGGAAACACCGTGGTTCCCTGCACAAATTACAATACACAGGCTGCTAAAACCTTTCTCCACCTTGTATTTACATGTATTTTATCTGCATTTATGTTTTCCTACCTGCACTACCAAACCATCACCCTTTACACATAATTATCATAAAAAAACAATCCACAATGCAGTTGTATTTTGTTGCACTTGATGGCTTAGTGCAGGCCAGGTTTTTTAAAAGCGGTAGGTGTGTTATGCAGTCTTACCTTCTTGATAGAGTGACCCTGAAAAATGATGTCTTGGGTGGTTTTGTGAGGAATTCCAGTGGGAACAATGCTAATCAGTCTCTGTGTCTCATGGATGACGGTGTCAGTGAAGGGCAGGCTTTTCCTGTCTGCAACCTGCACCTGTCGGTCTCCTATGACTCTCGTCAGCTCCTCCTGGACCTCATCTGGTGTATAAAAGTAACAATAATTAAATTTCATCCCTATTAGAATCACTCAAACACTCCATTTTACAGTGTTTTCACAGAAATCTATGCAATCTTGTAAAAAAAATTAAGTGCACGCCAGTTGAAGTAATAGTTCTTTTTTAATTATTTTATCAGTCTCTCACATTGGTGTAGAGAAATTTTGGCCCACTCTTCTTTACAGTGCTGCTTTAGTTCATTGAGGTTTGCAGACATTCAGTCAGGCATGGCTCTGTTAATGTCTTGTCACGGCATTTCATTTGAGTTTATGTCTGGACTTCGACTGGGCCATTGCAGCACCTTGATTGTTATCTTTTTTAGCCATTCTTTTGGAGATTTACTCTTTCTTTGGAGAGCCCAGTTTAGGCCAATCTGGGACAGATCCTCTGACATTTGCTATAAAATACTTATGATCATTACAGAGGAGTTACCCAAGGTACCCAAGTCCTGTGACTGGAAAAATCAACTGCAAATCATCACTCCTTTAGCACTGTGTGTGAGTTTGTCTGAGGTGTTTGTGCTGACATACTGTGTTGGATTTGTGCTTGATGTGGTACTTTTGCATTATGATAAAACATTTCTAGTTTTGTCTTGTCAGTCAACAGGATGTTGTCTCAGAAGTCTGTGCTTTCTTTTGGCAACTATTTTAAACAAGCCGTACCTGTTCTGACTTTTTTCTAATTGTAGAACTGCAGAATTGTACTAGAATAAACTGGTTTTGAATTTGGGGTGCATTTACTGGGACTTCCACTCCAGGGAAGAATGAAGCCCTCAGGTGTGTGTTAGTCCACACCTGAAGGCTTCAGTCTAACAAACTATAAAAAATCTGTCTGCAGTTGCTCACACTTGCTAATGATCAACTAATCGTGCTTTTGATTAGCACCTTATTGATTGGCTGCTACTCCTAAATCCCATGGAGGGAATAATTTGTGTTTCACAGGACTAAAAATAGAATACTTTGAAAACTTGATTTTTCACGCGGCTATAAATGAAGGTGACATTATTTATTTGATTTTGTTTTTGTGACAGTGATTTGATTTCATTAGCACATTGAAGTTAATATTTAGGCTCCTCACCCTGAATCTTTGGATATTTGGCCATAAGCAGAAGTCCCCATCTCAGTGTAGTTGATGTTGTCTCAGTTCATTACTGTCATCAAAAGGTTATCATCATGGAAATGACTGTTGGTAATCCCAGATTCCTTCAGACATGCAACAATAAAATGCCAGTAAATCTAATTCCCTTAAAACTGACAAAATGCGTACTTTTTTCTTACTAGGACACAGCATATTTGTTTAGTTAAGCAGGAATGTGCACAGCTTCACCCTGAGCTTCAGTTAATAATTTCAGACTACAAACTTGACAAGTGACAGAGATGCCAACCTCCAGAGTTTGCTTGCGGAGCAGAAAGGCATCCACAAAGCCTCTGCACATCTGTGGGTTCAGAATCTCTTTTAAACGACTGAAGATGGCAAGGTTTTGTTTGCTACTGGTAGCAGACATTTCGAGCAGTTCCTTCCTGGCACCAATCCAACTCAACAGCGCTGGACACATGTTGTACATCTGTCAAAAATTATATAACCATCAGTAACTAGAATAATATTTTGTTATTTGCAACAACTGATGCTTTATGTGCTTATGAAAGTAACTGTAGAAATTACCTGTACTGAAGGAGAACCCAAAAGTTTAGCACCTCTGCTCATTCAATCTACCAGAGATGTAAACTCTGGATCATTATATTCAAATCTGCTTCCATAGACAATGGAGCAGATAATATTAGAGACTGCATATGATAATCTTTGGTTTGTATCAAAAGCTTCTCCTGTGACAAGACAAATGAAAGGAGTGAAAAACAAATAACAGTCAAATTAATCTTCATCAACCTTCATTAATTTTTTTTAACATAAACAAATCTTACCTTTGAATTTCTTAAAAACTTCAATGAGGTATTGACATTCTTCAATTATTTTGTCCTCACATGCTCTCTTGCCCATCCCAAAGTCTCTCAGGTTAGTCAGTGCAAAGCGCCTCATTTCCTTCCATCAATCACTGTTGGACCACACAACCCCTGTAATGAAGTGTGTATAGAGTTTAAATAATAATAATTTAAGACACATAATGTGGTTATGCCCATTTTTTATTTTATTTATTTATTTATTTATTTTTTTTACCATTTCCATGGTTCATTTGATGCACAATTAGAATTGGATCTCTGTCTCCAAACACTTCATCATAGTCAACAAGTGCCTGCTTCACTGTCTTGTATCCTGCCAGCACCACCACTTTTTGGGGTCCAAGATAGACAGTGAAGACTGATCCATATTTCTTGGACAGCTAAGAAGGGCAGAATATGTTGATATTTTGACACACATTAGAGAGACCCTGGAAGTTGTAAGAGCTGCATGGAAAGCTGAATTTATAAGTCAGCCTAAAAGAAAAGCAGCCCAATAGCTTTACCTCACCTCCAATAATGTTTTGTAGGGTCTTTTCAGGTTCATCTGAAGCAAGTTCCCAAACAAGGGAAGTGGTCTGGGTCCTGGGGGATCCTGGGTACAGAAGCTAGCAGAGGAGATTAAATAGATGAGGAGGAGGACTGTCAGAGCCCCCAACAAGAAGGTAGAACTGAAGGCCTGAAGAAAAACATTTAATATCCCCATGGTTTTCAAGTAAAATATGCACTCTGTTACTTGCACTGAAAACTCAGTGACTGTGAAAGAGACTGCACAGAGATAAACAGTGCAAACAGTGTTCTGTGGTTATGAATGAGTAAATGATTAATGTTGCAGTTAGTACTTTGGTCTGTGTCAATATTATATTTTCAGGATGAAAAAAAATAAAATAAATAAAACATGTATATATGTGTGTACCTGATATCAACACAGTTATTTGTGTAAAAACTTTAAAGTGCAGCATTTTTTTTTTACTATATTTTAACATTATTTGAAACTGAAGCTCATTTTTTTGTATTGACTTTTAGAGTTGAATATATGATAAATGTAAAGAGCATTTATATTTTATGCTTTTCTATAAGACTGCCAAACTGGAAGTATGTCATAAATCAGAAAGTACGGTAAATAACTTTTTATCCAACCTAGCTGAGTGTAGGATAAAACGGGTAACCAAGCAGTTTTGGCCAAAGTGACTGGGTAGCAAAGCAGGTTTCCTAACAACAAGGGCAGCAGGTAAATAAAGTGGCAATATCTAAGAGAAGCAATAAGGTTGGAGAAACCTGCATTCAGCTAAGACTGAAGAAGTCACTTGGATGAAATGCTTCTCCCGCTGAAAAAACTGCGTCAAGATGAACTGAATACACTTTAATTGTGGGTGACTTAGACAGCTACAAGTGATGGTCATTAGTTTTTCTTATCACTAAATGAAAAAGTGAAGCGGACAGATAGAAAATGGCCCAAAGAGTCTGGTAACCATCAATTAGCCCCCCAAAATTATGAAAAAACAATTCATCTATACAAATAAACTTTGATATATATTTCAGTCCCTTTCAGACATTCTTCTTCTCTCTAAAGAGGTCACATGGAAGACCAACAATGTAACAATAATGTGTTGTCAACCCATCTGTAAACTTCTCCAACCACCAGGGGGCGTGGCATGGCGGTACTTACTAAGAAAACTGAGGGTGTCTTCTTTCTTGAGGGGCAGTAATGAGCATGACATGCACTGATGCAGCATTTGATCTTTATTGTGGAGGAAAATGTTTAACATCTTACATCTTTATGAGCAAGCGAGAGAGCGATACATGGGTGGTGTAGCATTTTTAAGTAATCAAAATATTCTGTCTTTATTGTCAGAGACTACTTTAAAGCCAACAGGCAACCTTTACCTACATGAGATGGGGCTAATAAAATCACCTTGAAACTAAAGGAACAATTGAACTAAACATTTTGTAAATCATGTCAGTGAGTCTGAAATTGTTGCCATGATGCCAGGTCTCTCTTGGAAATTAGATTTTTAATCTCAATGAGATTTTTTTTACCTGGATAAATAAAGGACTAATAATGATTAAGGACACAAGAAAATATTCTGCTAAAAATTGACTGGAGCCTTTTCACAGGACAACAAAAGCTTATAAAGACCATCTCCTCCTCACATTTGGGAAACAGCACATAATTTGTGAGGTGAAGGGCTGAGAGTAATGCTCACAACTGGAGTCAGATCCAATTCATCCTCTGAAACTCCAGGTGCAGGAGTGAAACGAAAATGCTGCAGGAGGGTGGTGAAGAAGAGGAAGAGCTCCATCCTGGCCAGACTCTCTCCGAGGCAAATCCTGCGACCTGCAAGAGATGAATAATAATCAACTGTCCTGTGAAGAGATGTACCTCAGTGGTAATGGCTGAGCTCACAAACCTGCAGAAAAATGGAATGAAGGCATCTCGCTTGACAAACTTTTTGTCTTCGTCCAAGAAATGAGCAGGATAAAAGCTGTGAGGCCTCTCCCACTCACTTGGATCATGCAGGACAGATGTCAAGAGAGGAAACACTGTGGTTCCCTGCAGATAACAGCTGATTTCAGAGATGCACAAAGTACAAAACGTACTAAGACAACACATAAAAACAGCACAAACTTTTGATTTGGATTCAGTTTCAAACTTTCCCGTATTCCTGTGATTGCCCGTCCAAGATGGCATCAAGCTTCTGTTTTGTGCACTCAGTAAACTGATAACAACTGTTCCCACTCATTTTTAGTCTTTTTGTCTGCATTTGTGTTTTTTGTAGCTTTACAACTTTGGCACTTCAACTCAAAGTTAATGCAGGACAATCCAGGATGTAGTTACATTATCTCAAAACATGGCTTGATGCCGAACAGATTTGAATAGATAACAATTAGTCTTACCTTCTCAATAAAGTGTCCCTGAAAAGTGATGTCTCGGGTGGTTTTGTGAGGAAGTGCAGTGGGGACGATGCTGCTCAGTCTCTGTATCTCATGGATGACGGCATCAGTGAAGGGAAGGTTTTTCCTGTCAGCAACCTGCACCTGTCGATCTCCTATGACCCTCCTCAGCTCCTCCTGGACCTCATCTAGAGTATAAAAGTAACAGTAATTGAATTTCATCCCTATTAGAATCCTCTGTAGTCTAAACGAGAACAGTGGACACATTACACTTGTGTTACACTGACAATAACACTCCAGTATATTTGATAAATGTATGTTTATTGTGATATTGCTCTTGTGACATGTGTCATGTGATTTCCAGTAAAAGAGTGTATTCAAGTTATGGATTATTTGAGCTCCTCACCCTGTATCTTCGGATATTTGGCCATTAGCAGAAGTCCCCATCTCAGTGTAGTTGATGTTGTCTCAGTGCCGGCAGCAAACAGATTCATGACTGTCATCATAAGGTTATCATCATGGAAGTGACTGTTGGTAATCCCAGATTCCTGCACATAGAAATTTAACAGCAAAGTCACTCAAATCATCCTAATCCCAAAGTTGGATGGGGGTTGGACAGTAGAAAAAGAAGTGTCAAGGCACCGAACAGTAACGAGGATGTAACATACACCAGAAGAATTACAAATGATCAATAGTGTTCACATACATCTGCTGGGTGATAAAGGTATTAGGATGCAACACAGTTGTTTTGTCTTAACCATAGCTGACCAGGATAAGGCACAGTTTCACCATCAGCTTAAGTTGTTTATTCCTGAACACAAAGTTGAAAGATAATAGAAAATCCAACCTCAAGATTTTCTTTGCGGACCAGAAAGGCGTCTACAAAGCCTCTGCACATCTGTGGGTTCAGAGTCTCTTTTAAACGATGGAAGAAGGCACGGTTTTGCATTTTATTGGCAGCAGCCAGTTTGAACCCTTCGTTCCTATCAGCAGTCCACTTCAGGATTGATGGAAACATTTCATACATCTGTGAATCATCAAATATACATCTGTACATAAAATACCATTTTTCATTTACAAAGGTTATTGAGTTGTACCTTGAAAAAATCTGTAACTCCATAAGTGTCACAAAGTAGGAATCAATACCTGTATTGAGGGACTTCCACCGAGTCTGACAAATCTGTTTGTTCGATCTACCAAAGATGTAAACTCTGGATCATTATATTCAAATCTGCTGCCATAGACGATGGAGCAGATAATATTAGAGACTGCACAGTTAATTGATTGGGTTGTATCAAACGCTTCTCCTGTAGCAAAGCAAACACATACAGTCAGTATAAGTAATTGGACCATTAATTCAATTCAGGTCAAACAAATGTGATAGTTTTTTTACCTTTAAATTTCTTAAATACTTCAATGAGATGTTGACATTCCTCAATTATTTTGTCCTCACATGCTCTCTTGCCCATTCCAAAGTCTCTCAGTTTAGTCAATGCAAAGCGTCTCATTTCTCTCCATGAGTCACCATTGGACCACAGAACTCCTGAGAGTGGTCATATTTTAGTTTGACAGTACCAAAATAGAAAAAAAGCTAAAAGATTTTAAGAAAAAATATTATTCCTTTACCATGCTCTTTGGTTAATTCATGCGCAAGTTTCGTTGGGCTTCTGTCTCCAAACACATCATCATAGTCTACAAGTGCCTGCTTCACTGTCTTGTATCCTGCTAGGACCACCACCTTTTTAGGTCCCAGATAGACCGTGAAGACTGATCCATATTTCTTGGATAACTAAGAACAGAATATTTTCATATTTTCACACACATCAAAGAAACCAAAGCTAAAAAGCTGCCTGGAGAACTGTATCTGCAACATAGTTCAATTACTTTCCTACCTCCAGCAATGTTTTGTAAGGTCCTTTCAGGTCCAGTTGCAGCAGGTTCCCCAGCACAGGAAGTGGTCTGGGTCCTGGAGGACCCTTTTGGTTTTTTTGAGAATTGAAGCTTGGAGTGACGATGAAATAGACAAGGAGGATAACTGTCAGTGCCCCCAACAAGAAAGCAGAACTGAACGATTGGAGAAAGACATCTAATATCCCCATGGCTGTGAAACGAATTCTCTGCTATGAGTTCTTTGTACTGAGAGCCCAGAGACTTAGTGCTTTTTGCGTTGTCTGCCAAATTTCAGTCCTGTACTGTGCAGCATATAATACAAGGTGTGACAGTAACAGAGCAAAGGTCCTCTATGAAAGAAATAGTAAATCATTAACGTTGCAGTTGATACTTTGGTCTGTAAAATAAATGGAAAAACCTTAACAAACCAACAAAATAAATTAAACACAGAATAAAAATATCTACTTGGATGTTAGAATAATTTTTGACAGAAGTGAGTATATCTGTTAAAAACGTAATAATAGTTTTCATTTTTGGTAGATTTTAGCATTAAAATTCAGGGTTGTCATGGCCGTTCTATCTATCTATCTATCTATCTATCTATCTATCTATCTATCTATCTATCTATCTATCTATCTATCTATCTATCTATCTATCTATCTATCTATCT